CTATCTTCCTAAGGACTTAAGAAAATGACACTAATTCATCCCCCTTTTTTTTGTCTTTTGGAAATGGTTTTGTAAATGTTTTGTATGTTAATTAGGTACTAATTGTAAGTGTAAGATATTTTTTTGGTATTAACTTTTCGGTATCCAGTAATCATATTAGGTTTTGATTAATTATTGAATTTTGATTAATCTGTAATCGAGCTGCGTCAGATTCCATTAGAGAAAGCTCTCCTAGTATTTATTTTTCCATTAACAAAATTCAAATTCGAAATATTGTTTAAGAAGAATCGAATTCTTTTCACTTGAATCAACAGATAAGTGATATGATAAGTATAAGATATGTAGAGAGTTTAAAAGGGTATTTGTTTTAAGTTTTAGAAATAATTATCCGTTGTTAATTTTAATCAAATAAATTAAATATTTAGAATTATAAATATTAATGATTATTAATTTTCAGATATCAACTATCAATTATCAATTGTTTTAATAATTCGAACAATTTATAAATATTAAAATTAACATATATCATACTAATGTAGAGTGTATTTTCAAAATCACTCTAAAAAAAAATTAAAATCCAACTAAATGAAAACTAATCCCAAGATATCTTAAATAAAAGAAAAAAAAAAGGCAGTTCTCCAGATATGGTACCAACCACACAACACAATAAATAGAAGCAGGCAAAAAAAAAAAAAAAAAGTTTCGTAGAAGCAAAAAGTTTTCATGAATAAGAACCGCGACACATAGAGCCTAACAGATAACAAACCAGCGTACGCCGAAATTTCCAAAAACGAATATAAATAAATGAGGGTACGTAGAGAATTCAATTCAAGAGCAAACTACTTTCTATCCCATTACTCCATACTATAAGTGTTGTCATCGTCACAGAAATCCGGCAGCCATGGTGGGGCAGTCACCGAAGTGGATGATTTTGGTGGCTGCCATATGGATTCAGGCTTTTACAGGTACAAACTTCGACTTCTCCGCATATTCGTCGCAGATGAAATCGGTGCTGGGGATTACTCAGGTGCAGTTGAATTACCTGGCGGTGGCCTCCGATATGGGGAAGGTGTTCGGCTGGTCTTCCGGACTGGCTCTCCTCTACTTTCCGTTATCTGTTGTGCTTTTCATGGCGGCTTTCATTGGATTCATCGGTTATGGGCTCCAATGGCTCGTCATTAGTGGCGTTATCTCTTTGCCTTATATTGTGGTATATATATATATATATATGCTCATTCCCTTCCATCCTCTTTCTTTTCTTTTTCATTTGCGTAAATTGCAAGACATCTAAATCTGGGAGATTTGATCATAATTTGTTTCCTTTTCTTTTTAGTAATTCTTGAAATTCCCAATATACTGTCTTCTCGCTAGTTTATTAAATTTATTTACTTTTTCCTTTTTTTAAACATTTATTTATATTTATCCATATATATATATGGTTTGTGGCTGAGAAAGTTAGAAATTTTCAATGAAATAAAATACAAAACGGTTGAAGTGTTAGGGTATGTGTAGATGCAGTATTGAAGTTGAAGATTAGGAATTGGTGTCCTTGCTTTTGTTGGAAGAAGTTTCCTTGGCCAAACCAGTGCAAAGAATTTTTGTCACCAAGTGATGGAACATGTTGCTTATTTTCTTCCTTTCAGTTCAATTTTGGACTTTGTTGGTTTCCTGACTGTGTCTGTTTGTGCCTTTTTCCCCTTTGATTGCTGTTTCTTTTGGTTCTGGGTCCTACTCCTAGAGCCCTGAGGAAAGAGTGAGGAAAATGGGGTTTGATTACATGAGTGGAGATGCAAAACTGAGCAAATATCCTGCAGTTTTTGACTGGCAGACTGTTGAGAAGCACACTAAACCCTTCTATGAGGTTCATATAATTGCCATAGTTTCTTACACAAATCACTCCCAAGGCCTAAGGGAAACTTTTAGAAAAAAGGGTCAATATTTATTTTCCATTTTTTATATTTACCCCTTCATATAAAATGATCATAATTAATTGGCATCATGTTCTCATACATGCATCCTTTTTGTTACGGAATATTATCTAAAAGTGTTGTTTCCATGCGGCAGGTTTTGCTGCTGTGTTTGTTGGCTGGATGTAGCATATGTTGGTTCAACACAGTATGTTTTGTTCTTTGCATAAGAAATTTCCCAGTCAATCGAGCCCTTGCTTTATCCCTAACAGTAAGCTTCAATGGTGTAAGTGCGGCACTTTATGCCCTTGCTGGCAATGCAACCAATTCATCATCTAGTGCATTATATCTCCTCCTAAATGCCATTATTCCCCTTCTCGTTTCCATTGCAGCATTACCTCCCATCCTTCATCAACCACCTTTAGAAACTCAAACTGCTGATGCAGCTCGCAGTGACTCCATAATGTTTCTCCTACTGAATATCTTCGCTGTTTTCACTGGTATTTACCTCCTCCTTTTTGGTTCCAACACATCTGGCGCAACATCAGCTCGCTTTTTCTTTGCTGGAGCCATTTTCCTTCTTGTCTTCCCCATATGTGTCCCTGGTGTTGTCTATGCTCGAAAATGGTTTCATCGTACTGTCCATTCCAGCTTTCGCTTTGAGAACTCCAGCTTCCTTCTAGTTGACGATGATGATCTTGAGCTTCACAAACAACTAAGCCGCGAGGCTAGCTATGAAGAGATTGGCTTACCAAGCAAAGGATTTGCACATGAAATGACCAACCAGATGTGTAGTGGATGCTGTAAGTGGTGGTGTGATAAAATGATTGGGAAAGATCAACTAGCGATTCTAGGTGAAGAACATTCAGCACAATTGCTTGTGCGTAGATTGGATTTTTGGCTATACTACTTTGCATACTTCTGTGGGGGTACAATTGGCCTTGTGTACAGTAACAATCTAGGACAGATTGCCCAGTCCCTTGGAGAAGGCTCAAATACTACTGCCCTTCTTACCCTGTATTCATCCTTCTCCTTCTTTGGCCGCTTACTTTCAGCAGCCCCAGACTACATCCGCGCGTAAGTGGTCACGTCATAGCAATAGATGTAAGCATAATATATTTGCTGCCCATTTAATTTGTGACCCTGAACAATGGTATCCATATGTTTGCAGGAAGCTGTACTTTGCTAGAACAGGGTGGCTGACCATTGCTCTATTACCAACTCCAATTGCTTTCTTTTTACTAGCGGCAACAGGCAGTTCAGCGGTACTACGTGCAAGCACTGCCTTGCTTGGCTGGAGCTCAGGATTCATCTTTGCAGCAGCTGTTTCCATCACATCTGAGCTTTTTGGACCAAACAGTGTAGGTGTCAATCACAACATTCTTATCACAAACATCCCAATAGGATCACTCGTTTATGGCGTCTTGGCTGCACTAGTTTACGATTCCAATGCAGAACTAGCCCCAGTAGGAGGAGATACAGAGTCACTAATCTGCATGGGGAGGCAGTGCTACCTCTTGACATTTCTGGGGTGGGGATGCTTATCTGTTGTGGGGCTGATTTCCAGTCTGATGTTGTTCCTAAGAACCAAGCACGCTTATGATGCTTTCGAACGAAATCGTCAATTAGCTGAGGCTTGTCAGGTAACATTTGGAGAATGAATAGTGAAGTGGAAGAAAACTTGTCTAACTAATTTTTGAGGAACAGAGGAGGAAATATGCCCTGTACCCTAATTTTTTTTCTTTTGTCACATAACAAAAGGAAATTAGGAAAGCTTCAATTTCTAATTTGATATATATGTAGTATAAAAATCTCCCTAGTTTTTATTTTACTAAACTAATTTTTGTGGTCTAGTGGTGCATGTTTCCAAGTTATGCTTTTTCTCTTCTCTTTTTTATTTTTATTTTTACTGATATAAATATAATATCATATAAAATTATAAATTTATAATTTTAATACATAAATATATAATAATATAAATAAAATTTTAAATAAAAAATAAATTAATTATATGATAATATATTAAAATTATAAATCTATAATATAATTATATTATTTATATTTTTAGTAAGAAAATTGGTAGTTAAATACGATGCCAAATTGATTAATAGTTTTTTAAAAGAAAATGTTGGGAAGAAGGGGCACACATAAAAAAAAAAAAAAGTGGCCTAATGGTAGGCTCAAGACGAATCGTTTTTTATTCAAAGGAACAGCCGCTCATATGCGAGAGCCATCTTAGTTACTGTAAACATGGAAGCCGCATAGACCCGGCACGCCTTTCCCCTCCGCGCCAGCATCTCCGGTCCTTCTTTTACCGCCGCCTCCAGCGCCTCCGTCAACGACTCCACGTTCGGAGCAAACGTGAAACCGAACTCATCATCGACAATAATAGTTCCTTTAATGCTGGGAAATCTCGACGCCATGACAGGTGTCCCACTCATCATCGCCTCCAACAAAACCGGTGCAGATGGAGCAGGTGGAGGTGCTGCGAAGGATGAAGAAGAGAGGGATGCTGAAGAGGATAATGAAGAAGAGAATGGAATGGTGCAGAGATTGGAAAGAGATGATGATTGATGGGGTTTCTTGGGTTTGCTGTTGAAGGCCATTCTTGAATTCCTTGAATTTCTTGAGGTGAAGAGTTCGGAAAAGTGGGGTGGGCATGGAACTTAAGCAAGTGCTTCGTTTTCTTTCCAGTTCTGGGAGAAAAAAAGTTGAAGGTTTCCCTACTCTTTTGACTTGTTTTATGCAAGACAATGCAGTGAGTACTTGTTAATAACGTTTAGTACTGATTTGCTTTATGTTGATTGTGTTTTATGTAGCAATTAGAAGGTGACAAATTCCAATGCATGTAGAGTTTGAAGGTACTGTGTGCATTGTTATTCTTGGCTGCTATTCCCATTTGATGCACTCTAATACAAGCACTCTTCAGGCTCCTTTTCTGTTAAAACTCAATTCAATATTGGACCTTTGCCTCCTAAGCGAAAAAACATGTGTAAGATGAAATAGAAAGAAATTTATGAAAAAAATATCAAGTCTTGAAAAAAAACCATGTTACTTTAGGAAAAGGAATATAATCTTAATGCATGTAAAACTCAGCCATTCTTGCTTGGATTCTTGAATTTTGGAATTCCGGAATTTTTTTTTATTTTTATTTTTATTTTTATTTTTTCACATTCTGTTAATCAGAGTCTTGGTTTGCTTGTTCTATCTCTTGGTCCCCACCTTAATTCATGGAGAGGAACTTTTAGTGAGATATGGGTTTTTTCCTTGCCTCATGTCTATGCAACAGCAGTCAATATGGGTTTTCCTTGGTCTTCGAATCACCTGTACAGAGCTTCTAGTCGAAGAAATGTTCCCTTGTTTTTGTTATTGACAGGGGCAGAATGTTACGTACACCATCCACCTATTCACACAGGAAATACAGCATGCTTATCATATGAGTAGTAATTTACATTTAATTGTAGGTTCTTGTTCCATCGTATATATATGCTTATGCTTTTCGGTTTGGAGTTACTACTTTCGGATGATTTCTTTTGTACAACCTTCGTTTCTTGTACATTTTGGCAATGGGGGCCATTGACCACGGGGGATTGCCTTTACCATTTCAGGCTTTCAAGAACTTTCATAATGGATGACATCCTTGGCCTCTCTTTGGGTTCAAGGTTATGCATTTTGGTGCCAGAAGAGCCATCTCCTTTGCTCCCTTCACTGAATACAGGCGGGTAAGTCCTGGGTCCATAATGTAGCGCAACTCGACACTGCTCCTCAAATATAAGGTTTTAGCCATTCAACAAGGTTTTGCTTACTCTTGCGTCTAGATTTATCCACTGATCTTCTTCCTGTTAGTAGTTCTAGAAGTACTACTACAAAGCTATGTATGTTACCTGTTGACTCACACTCATTCAGGGGCAACATAACCATACGTACCCATAACACGAGTTGCTACATGCGTGTTTGATAACTTTGGACTCATCGCTGCTAGGCCAAAACTAGACAATTTGGAGGTCAATTCCTGGTTGACTGATGTAAAAATGGTCAATTATCTATTCCATGCGTAGGGATTTTTATATGTTTTAATCAAAACATTATTTACCAAAATGTGTGAAGAGAGAGAATTGGGCCAATTTCTCACAAAATCAAGCTAGATACTGGAAGTCTTGAAGTCACGATGTATGACAGCCTTCTTTCAGCACCGCCATACAACAATGTAGGTTGTTTTGGCTGCGTTACCGGCCACTACGTTAAAAATTGATTTGTGATTAATGTCTGTGTGTTTATATCATAAATTGCATTTTTTTAATAATACCACATGTCAATGGATAAAGTGAGATCAAATTTACTAAAGGGATACATATCTGTCATATCTACATCCAAATTTTACATGTGCGAAATCACTTGAGAATTTTTTAGGAAACACTATATCACTGAGTATTTAACTTCAAGTGTACTAAAAAAAAAAAGTATTAACATTTGGTAAAGAAGCCTAGATGAAAAAATAATGGTTCATTTCTTGAGATTTGGATGAAATATGCCCAATTATGCAAGCAATTTTCACCTGAATCTGTTCTTCTTCCTGAGCTGCAAAACTGAAGAATACACAAGGAAAATATTGAGCTAGAAATTGTAAATTATATTCAATAATTATTCCTTTTTAGATCAACGATTGGCTAATCTTAGTTCAGGTTTTATCTCCCTTGATTATTGCTACTCCATTATAAACAAGGAATTAATAAACCCTTTAATGACAATTAATTAATTAATTAATAGAAGAAATCTACAGCAATGCAGTAATAGTATCAAATTTTCAGTTACTAATGCATGCTGAAATTGTGTTACTATTGCAATTAATTAATTTACCACCATTTTCATATACCCTCTTGACCCTCCACATTCCTCCACCTAACTCAGACCTTCCATTTTCTGCTCTGCTGCTATAAATTTTGCTTTTGCTAATGTCAATCAACTCATGCACCTTTCCTTTTCTGCTTCTTCCTCTGAACCATGGCATCCGCTTGCATACTCTGTTCATTACTTTTCTTTGCACCTTTCCTAACAGAAGCAGCTACTGCCGGTTTCACTGTTGATTTTATCCACCGTGATTCCCCGCTTTCGCCGCTCTACAACCCTCTAGAGACCCAGTTTGATCGCTTCTACAACGCCTACCATCGCTCAATTGCCCGTGTCAACCGTTTGAGGACCAAGTCAAGTTCATCCAAGGCCCTGCAATCCCATATTATACCAAGCGGTGGAGAATATTTCATGAACTTCTCAATTGGAACGCCGCCAGTAGAGGTGTTCGCCATTGCTGATACCGGCAGCGATCTCACTTGGGTCCAATGCAAGCCCTGCGACCAATGTTACGACCAGAAATCTCCTCTCTTCGACCCCGAACAATCCTCCACCTACAAAAACGTCGCTTGTGGAGCCGATTCCTGCCATGCCCTCGGTAGTTCCGAACGTTCCTGTGACCGGAAGCAGGATTACTGCAAATACAGTTACCATTACGGAGATCAGTCATTTACAAAGGGGAACGTTGCCACCGAAAATCTCACCATTGGCTCGACCACCGGTGGCCCGGTTTCTTTACCGGAAATTATTTTTGGTTGCGGACACAACAACGGAGGGACCTTTGATGGTGCAGGTATCAAATTTTAACAAAAAAAAATTTTTTTGACTTGGTTTGTATTCTGTTAATTTTTGTTATTTCAGGATCTGGTATTGTGGGTCTTGGTGGCGGTCCGCTTTCCTTCGTTTCCCAAGTTAGTGCTACGATCGGCGGGGAATTTTCTTACTGTTTGGTTCCTACGTCGACGTCCAAGGCTACAAGCAAGATAATTTTCGGAAATAGTGACGGAATTTCCTCCCCCGGCATGGCTACGACTCCTTTAATCGAGAAAGAACCTTCGACGTATTACTACGTCACACTGGAGGCCATCAGCGTCGGCAATAAGCGGATACCCTACGCCACCTCCTCGATGGAACACGGCAACATGATTGTTGACTCTGGGACGACACTTACGTTACTGGATTCCGAACTCTATGACAAGCTGGAGTCTGCTCTGGAGGAAGCCATCAATGCAGAACGTGGAAGCGACCCTAGAGGGTTTCTGAGCCCCTGTTTCAAGGAGGCGGGGAAGGGTGGCGCCTTAAATCTTCCGGTGCTGACGTTTCATTTTACCGGTGCGGACGTGCAGTTGCAGCCGTACAACACGTTTGCGAAAGTGGAGGATGACCTGGTGTGCTTCGCCATGGTGCCGTCGAATGATATTGCCATTTTTGGGAACTTGGCTCAGATGGACATCATGGTTGGGTACGATCTTGCGAAGAGGACTCTTTCATTTGCCCCAACCGACTGCACCAAGCATTAAGAACTTTAGATTGTCCATTGATTAAAAACTGGATAAGTTCAAGGGGTCAATAATTAGGAGTTTTCGCTTTTGGAAATGAACTTGCTAATGTAATTACAATAAGCATTAAGGGAGTTGCAATTGCATGGCAAGGGTCAGGGGAATATGGGATTACTTCCAATTCTAAACAATTTTCCAAGGCAGAGTGGCATACCCAAAATTGCATGTTTGGATCTACTTCCCTAGGAAGGCAGAAGACAGCCACAGAGCAATGTAAGACTGAAAAAAAAATGAGGTTCAGCCTTTAGCCAGTAAGGACTACAGTGCGAACAGATGGGAATCTGCACCCATGACACATCCAAAGAACTTATTACCATAATTTACAAAAATGGCTTAAACAAGAAGAATCTACTGAGAGGCATAATGTGCTCAATTTATACAATGGTCCTATACACTTAAATCTGGGACAAATGTGTAAGGAGATAACAAATTTCATTAAGCAAGAGCGAGAAAAAAAATATAGAGAGAGAGATAAAGAACCGACTCATACCACAAGAGGGAAGTTCCATTTACTTAAGAGAAATGAAAGCCTGCATGCACCTGTGGAAAGTGAGGACAACAGAAGGAAAACGCGCCCAAAATATGGTTCCATCCAACGGATCAGATTGAGATCAAACAGATCAAGAGGTGCATTTTCTCACTTATCTGCTGAAAGAATGAATTAAATTGAGACTGAAGCTGTTGCAGATTTAGAGGTGCCTTCTTTTACCTTTTTTCTAAATTGGGAGAAACAGTGACAACATGGATGCTGGTACTCAATCTGAGTTGGAATCGTAACAATCACTGGGACATGGGGTCATGACCTCAGATTCAAGCAACTGCACCACCCTGTGCATGGTGGGTCGGTCCTCTGGGGTTGAAGAAACACATTGGATGGCTAGTGAAAGCAAAATATCAAAGCTTTCTGCCTGCACTCCCTCGCAGTTTCGATCAACAATCTCTCGTTGCCTATTCTCGGTAATCAAGAAATTTAACTGCACAAGAGGGAAACAGACTGGTAAGATGAGAATCTTTACTTTCAAACAAAAATCTGGCTACCATTGTCCATTGGGTGGTGATATACTTTGCTTTCAGAGAATAACCCACTGTAAGAGAGTTATGTTTTACTTCTCTTGTAAAATTGCAGCACTTGTATTTGTGGATGGAAGTCTACCCAATGGAATTAAATGTGCAGCAAAGCTACAATCATTCTAAGGTAAAATAAATGAATAAGAAATTCCTTTATTCAAATAGATACTACTTTTCATGATAATGCAAGACTAAATATGAGATCTGACCCTTGTATTCCTCCAAACAGTTCTGCATCACCTTTATCTAAATAGACAGAAATGGTTTAATCAAAAGCACAATCATAAAGATGGCTTCTGAAGTTTAGACAAGCAGTTTTGCTGGTTAGACTTATTAAAAGATATAGCTTAGATCTCAAATACTTCAAGAATGCATGATGATGAACTGAGATCAAACTAGACAATATTGTTCCAGAAGAAGGAAGCCTGGTTAAAACCAAATATCTCCGGAAGAAGAAAGAAAGGGCGGGGACATACCCAGCCAACAATGTTGAGTCCCTTCTCAATGAATGATGCATCAGTAGGTCTCTTCCCACTCAAAACTTCAAGCATCAGAACCCCAAAACTATACACATCGGTCTTTTCAGTTGCCCTACCACTTACCATGTATTCTGTCAATACAACCAAATCAGATTCAAGAAAAAAATTATTTGAAAAGCTTAACTGGTGATAAAGCCCACACCCAAGAAAGAACATGTTTTAACATAAAGCTTTAAGATAAAATAGTTGGCATACAAAAACACAATCTTCAAGTGTATGATAACCATGTGTTCCACAATCTTCAAATGTCCTCAAGATTGCAACTACATACCTGGAGCCAAGTAACCAAAAGTTCCAGCAACTATTGTCGTAATATGAGATTCTTCATCCTCTAAAAGTTTGGCAAGCCCAAAGTCAGATACTCGAGCTTCCATATTAGCGTCAAGCAAAATATTGCTTGACTTTATGTCACGGTGTATGATCCTTGGAGAACAGTCATGATGTAAATATGCAAGCCCTTTTGCTGCTCCCATGATAATATTCAAGCGAGCATCCCAGTCCATTTGCTCAGATTTTTCTGTACAAAGAGTAATGAGACATCATTGTTTACCCAACTGCTAAGAAGATCAGCTCATGCAAGAAATATATAGAATGCATAAACTCCAAGAGAAAGATAAAATGTTCAAGAAATTTATGTCACATCAAGCTCTATCTGAAGCAAGTTAAATCAGTCTTCAGACCCAGCATTGTTTTGAATGTTCTGAAATTGAGAAGATGAAGTACTTGTCCAAGAACTTCAAAACAACATTGTCCAATCATGTTGGGTTGAGGTTTCTCTGAGTCACACAACTTTTTTCCAAAAAAGGAAAGCAAGAGGGAAGAAAGAGGAGGAAGAAAAAAGGGCAAGATTTTGGATAAGATTAAGGTTATCATAAACACGACAAGCCCCAGAACAGAATGGGCACATTTCTAACAGCCATATTCCTCATGAAACCAGACAAAGTCAATGCCTATGATTTGGTTGCTCACCCAATGCAAGGATAGCAAGACAACAACAATAACAAAAGATTACTAAATTCTGACATGTTGCTAATGAGCACTGCAATGCAATGGAAGAATTTGGCCTAAAAAAGTTCCAGATGCTCCTGAAAATGGCACGTAGTCTTGTGCATTTCCATGATATTGAAGGAAGATGTTGATAAGTGGATATCTCACCATGAAGAGCTTCATCAAGGCTACCACCAGCTAGGAAATCATAAATTAACAACTTTGACGTGGGAGAATTACAGTATCCTCGCAAATTTACAAGGTGACGATGTTTAATGCTTCCGAGAATTTCAAGCTCTCTTTCAAAAAATCGATCAAATCCCTCATTCATCTTGACAATTCGTTTCAAGGCAAACAAATTGCCATCCTCCATTGCAAGCTTGTAGACTGTTCCAAAGCCCCCAGCACCAATGATATGTTCCTCATTCAAAGTTTCCAACTTCTTAATGATGTCCTTTGAAGAGTATGGCAAATCTCCATGGAACATAACAATTGATGTCCCTGAAATGAAAATACTGGTCAACAAAGATGCAGATTCCTAGAGAATTAGGAGAACAGAAAAACAAATTCTAAAGACAGCTAAATATCCAAAGCGAAACAGAGTAGTTAAGAAGATAACCTCCACTAACATCCATGGCAAGGCTTTTCCCCTCATTTTTACCAAACTTCTTATAAAGGAAGCACCCCCAGAAACACATCAGTGCTACCAAAAGCAGGGCACCAACAGTTGCTGATGCACTAATAAGAAGCCTTCCAGAATTTTTCTTCCCACCTAGGTTATGATCTATAAACAAAATACTACACAAAGTGAGTCATCTCAATTACTGTAAGGAGGTGCAGGAATGAAGGCAATGAAGATGTAAAAAGTACAGATTTTGTAGAAGTTATTAAATAGAATAAGATTTCATTGACTTCCTTGATTCACATCATAGACATACACGATGTCAAATATCATCGACATCTTAGTCACTGAATTATACACATCTATGATTGGAATCCTGCAAACTACTAAACTGCCAGTGAAATGAAGCAACAAGCAGCCACAGATCAATAATTCCAGCTATGCAGCTTTACCTGATGTCGGAGATTCAGTATGTGTTTTGCCACTTCCATCATCTTTGCAGGCCACATTAATTTGTTTTCCACACAGATCACGATTTCCAATGAAACTGCAAGAAAACCAGTCAAACCAACATAGCATGCATGGAATCTCTGCTTTTCCACAGGCCAGTAACTAATGCACATTGTGGATCCTAAAATTCCACTGGAGAAGTAACAATAGGTGAAAAGGGCAGTGAGAAGGGTAGCTCTTCCAACCACTGCCTGAATGACAACTTTTATTATCAAACCCACAGAGACTGGCAATCAGTCAAACACAAAACAGAAAGAAACCAAGAAAGGTTGTACTTACGAGCCTTCTGGGAAGTTGCTAAGCACTCCATCTGTTGGTATGGGCCCAACCAGAAAATTGTTTGACACATTGCTTTAGAACATTCAAAAATATCATAACAGATGAGATTATATTCAACATAGGGCTTAAGAAAACAAACACAGAAAACTCACTCAAAACTAACATATAGGGAAGGAAGTAAGGCTACTAACAATGTACTCAGCTTATTTAACTTCCCAAGTGAAGGAGGGATGTATCCACTGAGAGAGTTGCTTGAGATATCCCTTCAAAATGTGTGTGTAACACCATAACCAAACAAGTTTACTAATTTGAAAAGATCAAAACCATTGTAGCAGTAATTCAAACTCCCATATTCTAACTCTTCTGGAAATGGAGAGAGAAACAACTTACAGATTTTCAAGTCCAGTTAGGTTTCCCAATTCACTTGGTATTAATCCACTTAAGTAGTTACCCTGCAAATATCTAGAGAAAATAAAAGATTTCAATTCAATTGAACAGACAAAAAACAAGAAGAATGGGAAGAAGAAGCTGATAATGTAGTTACAAGAGATGCAATCTTCGGTATCACCCACGAAGATAATAGAGAAAGGAGCAAGTTTTAGATTGATAACATTTAATTCTGATGGTAGAAAAGGAATGCATTTTTCAAGCAAGAACTACTATTTTTTGTGTAGTAGGAAGCACATAATTTCCACTGGAGATACTTACATTCCCTGCAACTCTGTGCAATTTCCCAGTTCTGGAGGAATTGTCCCATAAAAGTTATTATTATGAAGCATTCTATGACGCAAGAAAAATTAGAAAAGGCATTAGCTATGACGGAAATACACACAAAACAATGCAGCAAAGGTGTCAAGTGTTAACTATAAAGAAAAATTAGTATGTCTGTAACAACACATACAAAAGCCTTAAATGCTCCAGCTTCCCAAGTTCAGGGGATATGGGTCCACTTATTTTGTGATTGGTAAGACTCCTGAAAAGCATCCAGAAAGAAAAAGAAGCATAGCATATTAGTACCAAAATTTCAAATAAATGATCTTTGCACACAAAACCCGTAAAAAGACCTTGAACATATTTGGCTGTTATTTCATAACTTACAAAGTAATTACTCTCTTAGTTTTATTGTCACATGTCACTCCCTTCCATTTACATGGATCAGGATCCTCTGGTCTCCATTGAGTAAGGATATCATCTGAGCTAACAACTGCTGATCTGAAGCTTATAAGTGCCTCACCTACATATCAGGAAGACATATATTGCTGAACCTGACTTGAACTTCGACATATGAAACTTATGAAGCAAGACAAGTAAATGAGCAGTTTTGAAGGACACAGGTAAGGGCTTATAATGTTTCTTTATTTATTTTGATTGATGGGAGGAGGACAATGATATAACAGGATCTTGCAGCATTATAATCGAGTAGAGGAAGCCTTTTGCTCAGATAATTGCTTGCTTTTTTCTTTTCTTTTTTTTTTGGCTAAAGATACTCGCTTTGGTAAAACCAACATGTAAAGTTGTAAACAAGAATAAAATGTATGTGAAAAAATATATCACCATACCATCTGGACTGATCGCTACTGTTCTGTGCAATAGGATATAGAGAGGTAGAACGTAAAGAAGCATGGCGCTTGACATTTTAGCAGACAGATGCACATAGTGGCACTGATCATGCATAATATGGCTACCTCAAATCATCTGATACACCAACCCCCCACGATGCTCCCTAGCTGTGGCATTGGTTATCCGATCCATGCTGCCATCTGGAGTGGTGTGAAGGAAAGAAATATGCTGCCAAACAGTAAAGAGAGAATCATGATGAGAATATAACCAGAAGAAAAAATTATACGAAACAATATAAGGATATGTAGATCTTGCAATGCAATCTAATCAAACAGGTAGGAAACCTCGAAAAAACTCAGAGAAGACTTAATCGGAAACAATATTGCACAAGAACTATTTCAATCAATGAACCTACAAGTATGAGGGAGCAATTTCATTAAAAAAATATACAATTAAGAAACAAAAGATCCCCTATGACTGGTATATAGTAAACTCATCAGATGTACTGAAAATGAAAAGTAAAGAAGAAGAAGAAAGAATGCTTCCAGAAGAAGGAGGAGGAATGCTTCCAGAAGAAGCTCATATATAGCACAATTCCTCTTTCAAACTTCTTATCTCACTGAATTGTCAACTTTTTTAGACTGCTTGAATGAAAAAAAAAAAACAACAAAAATAAAAAAATCTACAGAATTACACAGGGACAAATCCAGCAGCAGAAATTTAACAATGTAAATTCAGGGGAAAAAGCTCCCGAAAAAAGCTAAATTGAATTGTCCAATCACTCAATTTAGTGATTCAGATTCTTGAATCTGGAACTAAGTTTTTTTTCTTAAAAAAAAAAAAATTGAAAGCATTCTACACTCGGATTATTTACGCTTCAGCTCCTAATTTCTACTCCACCTTACAAAACATCATCAAAAAAAAAAAAAAAAAAAGTTTCGTAGCGAGACTAAGCAATGCATCCTCAGATTATAATAAACCAAACCTTGATTTGGGATTTTAGGTGGAATCTTGAGCTGAAACTGAGCTGATATATTTACAAAAATTAAATTTACAGAAAAATAGAACAAGAAGAGAAAGAATCAATGACTGACCTTTTTTGAGATTGAATCGATCTGTGAAGGGAAACTGGAACGCAGGCAATGAGCTGTAAAGAGAAAAAGAACAAAAACGATAAAAAAAGAAAAAGAAAAATCTATAAAAAAAAATAGTAATTTATTTTTTAAAAATGTGATTTTTTAGTGTTGCTTGGAGTTTTATGAAATTCGTGAATGTACGGATTGTGGAGAGGGGAGTGAGTTTTGTGAGAGTGAATGAATCACTGTTAAGAGTTGGGGACTCGCACGTGCCACAGCGACGTCTTGCACGTGCCACAGCGACGTCTTGCACGTGCCACAGCGACGTCTTGCACGTGCCACAGCGACGTCTTGTACGTGCCAACCGACGCTCTCTGAGTAAAGTAGCAGCTTTGTTGGCTCCGCTGTAGTATAGTACACTAGTTGTACTAGTACTGTATTTTTTTATATTATTTTTTAATATTTAAAAATTATATTAAATATTAATTAATTTAGATCAAGAATTTAAAATCCTTATATAAGATCTTAAATTACAAAATGGTGTTATATAAATAATTTTTTATATTAATTTTTGATATAATTTTTACGTGTCATTAAATAAATATATATTTAATATCGTAAATTTTATATGAATTAAAAAAATTAATAATTTAAATTACATGTCAAATTATATTAAAAAACAATATTAAAAAATTATCTTAAAATCATTTTCTTAAATTATAATATTTTGAATGGAGAAATAAACACAAAAATAAAATTTTTTTATG